GGGGTGGGGGGGGGGGGGGGGGGGGGGGGGGGGGGGGGGGCTGGCAGAGGCACCCCCCCTGCACAACCAGGGCTGCAGTCTCGCCCCTTCCCCGTGTCATGCATGGACCAGAGCTGCTTTGAGCCTGGAGGAGGAGGAGGGGACCCCAGGGCAGGACTCCCACCTCTTTTCGTGACTCCCCTTCCTCGGGCTGGGGTTGGGGGGGGACGGGAGGGGGGAGGGCTGGACAAATTGTGTTTATTGTACAAATTACTCTTAGTTTATTCTATTGGAGAAGCACCCGCTGGGTGCCCTGCCCTGCCTGGGGGCAGCAGAGGGGTGGGCAGCAGCATCCTCAGGCCCTTTTCTGCTGCAGGCTGGGGGGGGTGACAGCATCTCCTCCTTGTGACCATGGCCCCAGCTTCCCGTCACATCCCTCTGGGGTGACTTTTAATGCAGTGGCAGAGTCGGACTCTCGCAGGATGAAGACACAGCAGCTACAGCAAACAAACAAGACCCCCCTGCCATGTGATACCTTACACCTGGGAGATGGGCTTGTCCTCCTGGGTGGGCATCACCTCCCTGCCAGGTCCTGGGGGGGGAACAAGGCTGCTGGGCAGGGATGATACCCCCAGTATCTCCTCTGCCAGTGCCAGGAGGAGCTTACACAGCTCACCCCTGCCTCTGCCCCCATCCCTCCCCTCTGGTACCTGTGCCCTCGGGGGGAGAAAAACCCTCCCCTACCTCCCTGCAGTAACTACACCCTTGGGAGGGAAGCCTTTTTCTGCCCCTTTCCCCCTCTCCCTCCCAGCTGCAGGTGGCAGAGGCAGGGCTGGGACACCCCAGGGCAGTGGGGCTCAGCCTGAAGTGGGGCAGGGAAGGGCTAAAGCCTGCAGGGAGCCATGCAAAGCACGGGGGAGGAAGAAGAGCTCTCCTGGTCCCTGCAGCCAGCGGTCTCTGTGCTTCAGCTGGATCTGCTGTGATGGCAACAACTATTAAATATGATGGTTCATGGAGCGGGGCTGCTGTCCTGTTTGCGTCCCACCACCCTGGGTTCAGGCTCTGGCTTCATTCCTTCCTTTGGGCCCCCCCCAAGAGGAGCTGGAGGTCCTCAGGGTTGGTCCGAGAGCCCTGCTCAAAGGGCTAAAGCCTGCAGGGAGCCATGCAAAGCACGGGGGAGGAAGAAGAGCTCTCCTGGTCCCTGCAGCCAGCGGTCTCTGTGCTTCAGCTGGATCTGCTGTGATGGCAACAACTATTAAATATGATGGTTCATGGAGCGGGGCTGCTGTCCTGTTTGCGTCCCACCACCATAGGTTCAGGCTCTGGCTTCATTCCTTCTTTTGGGCCCCCCCTGAGAGGAGCTGGAGGTCCTCAGGGTTGGTCTGAGAGCCCTGCTCGCAAGCCCCAGAGGCCAGAGATCATCTTGTGGTGATCAGAAGGGACATCTTCTGGTGTAAGGTGTAAGTAAGTCTCCAGGGCTTGGAGAACCAGCATCTCCTCTGGACCCCTGGTCCAGTGCTTAACCAGACCACCCATCCCAGCAAATAGTTTTTGCTTATATCCTTACCCCCTCCCCATTCCCTGCCCAATTCCTACCGAGGGTCCCTGAGGCCGGGCCGTGGTGGGCAGAGGGGCCACATTGGCTCACATGTGGACATCGTAGTAGTAGTCCAGCAAGTCATACTCATCCCGCTTGCTTTTGCCAGCCCTGCGCAGCCCCTCCGGCCGCTCCTGGGCCATCCAGGTCCTGAGGTGGGGCTGCTTGGGTTTGATGCCATAATCTGCAAGTAGAGGGAGAGGAGAGACTCAGCTCAGCTTTGTTCCCCACCTCACAGAGCTGGGGACAAGTGCCCACCTGGAGGAGGGGTGGTGGTGAGCGCAAGGAAAGGGGGTTTTGGAGGGGTGAGGAGGGTGTTCTACCATCCACCGGGCCAAAATGCTGCTGTGGGAGCTCCCCGGGAGCAGAGGAGTCCTCAGGACCTGAGTAGCTGACCCTGCGGAGGAAAACATCAAAGAGGATGGGGGCCGGTATTTTTTCAGTGGTGCCCAGGGATAGGAGAAGAGGAAAAGGGCACAAACTTGAATATAGGAAGTTCCACCTAAACGTGAGGAGGAACTTCTTCACTTTGAGGGTGGCAGAGCCCTGGAACAGGCTGCCCAGGGAGGTGGTGGAGTCTCCTTCTCTGGAGACATTCAAAACCTGCCTGGACATGTTCCTGTGCAACCTGCTGTGGGTGGACCTGCTTTGGTGGAGGGGTTGGACTAGATGATCTCCAGAGGTCCCTTCCAACCCCATGGGATTCTGTGAAACCAGGAGCAGGAGTGAGCCGAGACCCTCCAGTGCTTGCCCCCATGCCTTGTCTTCACCCAGCCTGGCCAAGCTCTAGAGGGCTTGGTGCCACAAGTGCCCAGACCAGGAGCCTTGGGGTAGCTCTGCAGCTTGGTGCCACAAGTGCCCAGACCAGGAGCTTTGGGGTAGCTCTGCAGGTACAGGGAAGAGGAGGAAGAGGAAGGAAATGCCATCACCTCTGGTGGGGCCAGGGAGGAGGAGGAGGAGGAAGAGGAAGGAAATGCCATTACCTCTGGTGGGGTGAGAGGGCAGCCCCCAGCAGCAGGGCCAGCAGCAGGAGCCAGCACCGCATGGCGCAAACCCCCTTCCAGCTCCACAGCGATGTCACAGAGGACCCCCCCACGGTGGCCCTGGGACACCAGCTGGGGTGGGCAGGAGACAGTCCCCCCCACCCAGGTGTTGCTACCTACCTGCTCTAATACATGAGCTTCTGGTCCTGCCCAGGCCATGCCAGCTCCTCACAGCCCTCCTCGTGCTGGTGCACGTCCCTCCATGCAGCCACGGCTGCTCCCCTGTCCCTCACCACCCCCCTCTGCCTCCCTCTCAACCTCTCCAAGAACAAAATCCTTCCTCTCCATACCTCCCCATTTCCAGCTTCCAAAGATCTGCAGGATCTGGGGCAATCCAGTGCCACCAGCTGGCTAAACCCTTTGTCCTGGCCAACAGAGCCTCCACAGCAGCTCACTGAGCAGAGACTGATGCCTCAACTATCCAACAGTTCACAGAGCAGATATAAAATGATGGCCACAGCTATCCACGTCTCTCCTGCACCCTTTATTACAGAATCATCTAGGCTGGAAGAGACCCTCGGGATCATAGAGTCCAACCATCCACCCTAAAGTTCTCCCCTACCCCATATCCCCCAACACCACATCTAAAGTCATTACGTTACATTATTAAGTGTGGCACAGGAGTATTTGCCAAATTCATCTCTCCATTTCTCCTCTGCCCTTGGACAAGCCCCCTCCCCCGAGCGTTGGCTGGCAGCCGTTCTACTACACCATAGCCCCCAACACCACATCTAAAGTTGTTACATTATTAAGTGTGGCGCACTGTATTTGCCAAATTCATCTCTTCATTTCTCCTTTGCCCTTGGCCAAGCCCCCACCCCCCCTGAGTGCTGGCTGGCAGCCGTTCTGCAAACCCTTTTAGCACACAGAAGGTGTGAGGAAAAGAGCCTGCAGACTGCAGCTCTCCACGCCCCAGGGGATCCCCAGGAAACCAGGGGCTGAACCAAGCACCTGGAGTTACCCCAATCATCAGCTGAACAACGTGCTCTCACACAGGCCAGAACAAAAAGCTTCCAAGTGACAGCCATATCCCAGGGTAGACACCTGCAGAAGGTGCTCTGAGAGACAGAGAGAGACCTGCTGACAACCAGATCCAAGGGGAGCCCACGCACACAGGGGAAGAGAGGTCCTTCAGCTCAGGTTCTTTCCGTTCAGTCAGTTTATTTGACAGACAAGCCCCCTCCAAGCAGATCGGCCAGGCGTGGCCAACACAAGCAGGCTGCAGGTCAATCTCAGCGCCATCAGGTGGGAGACTGTGCTCTCCAAAAAACACTACACTGGCAGCCAGAAAAAAAAAAAAATGGAGAAAAATCAAGGGCTTAAAAAAAAAAGAAAAAAAAAAAAAGAGGTTGTCCCATCACCATCGCTGCAGCCAGAGAATGGTCCAGAGAAAGAGGTGGCCAGGGTCTCACCGTACGTGTAGTGTCCATCATTCACAGCTAGATCCGTTAAAAAACCCCCCAAAAATTACATACACCCCCCTCCCCACCCTGCAGAACAGGAGCTTCGCATTGATGGTTTAACTGAAAATTAGCCATTATCAACATCCCTCCCCCAGCCTGCTTGCCCCCTTTTAGAAATGTCCAGCTGTGATCTTAGCAGAGAAATAACCATCTTCTTCTCATCAGCCCCAGTTATAGAAATAGATTTTCTGCCAAGCAGGCAAGTAATCCATCAGCGGCCCTGAAACAAGAGAACAGAGGGATTACATGTAGCAAGGCAAGAACTTGAAGCCACACGTGCATGGGGCAGATTCCCCCCTTCTCATTATGATACCAAATAATCCCAAATCTCCAGTTCTACAGCTCAGATGAACCCAAGACTAGAATGGTCACTTTTGCCCAGATGGAAGACAACTTTGGGATGCAGTGCCAGAGATTAGAGCAGGACCAAACTGGGGGTGTGAAACGTGGTCAGCGCAGCCACGCTGTGGGACACCACTCCCCCAGAGCCAACTTGTCCAAGCTCCAGTAGGAAGCAAGGTCTGGAAAGTGGGGTCTACAGTGTGCAAGGGGAAAGCCCACGTGCAGCCAGTCAGGAGGACACTGCTGTGGCACAGAAAGGGAGACAACTCAGCAATAACAAGCAGGTGCAGACACAGAAGCAACTGTTGTAGAGGAAAAATGCTTACGTGGCACATGGATTAATGCAAGCTCCAAAGCCTCTCCAAAACCACTAACTGGAAGAAGTGGCTCCTGAGCTAGTCAGCTTTGTGACCTCCCCCAAAGAAAGGACAGTGCCACAATGCCAGGCTAATCTAATGCCATATCACTGCCATGAACCACTCCAGGAAAGGCTTCACACCAGCAGGGAAGAGGAGGAGGTGAAATTCTGTCCCAGATGGTGAAGGACTAGAAGACAGACCTGGTTCAGCCCTTTGATATACAATCAGCTCCTGGCTGGGTCAATGCCTCTAGGCAACTGTTTACCCCTCACGTGTGCACTGCAGAGCAGGGACCAAGGAAAACAGTTCAGAAATGGGGGCTGAAAAGCAGGGCTCTGGTGCACCAGCTGAGGTGCAGAAAGAGACCCCAGGAGAACAGGCCTAGGCAGCAGAGACCAGGCACAGGGAGATTTACCACTGTGGTTGAGCACAGGTCCCTAATAGCCAGCAATCATCCTTTCCAGTTGAAACCACCACAAGCATCAATACAGGGTTGCACCGGTGTTAACCATTTCTAGGGAGACGTCCCAATTCTTTCCTCAGAGGTTGGAAACCAACGGACAAGTGTTCTGCCCGACTCTCCTCATTTTTCTCCACCCAAAAGTAGAGAAAGGGGGATATAGCAGCAGGGGCCACTTACGTGTGACGAAGCCAACTCCAGGCACATAATCAGCCAAGAGGCGCAGGAGGAGGAGGATCCTGCCCCTAGGAAGGGAGAGAGCAGGAATGAGTCCAGCAGAACACCTCCTGCCCCAGCTGTTGAATGCAGGAAGAGGAGTGACAGCTGTTATGCAAAGGCTCGGATGAACCTGGTCACAGGCACCCAGACCTCTTCAGATCTACTCACCCAGTCCCCTGATGCTATTTCTGTTAAAAGGGAAAATTTTCAGCAAAAGCCCAGCAGGGGCCCCTTACTCTGAGTATCGGTCGTAGAAAGGAGATCTCAGCAGGTAGTAGAGCAGCAGGATGGTTCGTCGCCTCAGCTCCGCTCGCTCTCGCCTGTTCAGGTCTTTCAGATCACTCAGCAAGCTCAGGCTGGAAGGAGAAGGGCAGAGAACTAACTCGTGGCACCAGCAGGGAAAAAAAAAACCCCCCATCCAAATGCCCCACGTTCTCAGCTCCACGTCAAGCAGGCTGGACCAGCTCAGAACAGAGAGCACCGCAAGTGTTGCAGAAAACACCTAAATGTGTCCATCTCCAGCTAAAGATCAGACCTGGAGAGTATTTCTCTCAGGATTGGGGAATAGGGGGAAGTGACATGCTCAGCTAAAGAAAGTGAGTCTCCAAATGCCCCACGTTCTCAGCTCCACGTCAAGCAGGCTGGACCAGCTCAGAACAGAGAGCACCGCAAGTGTTGCAGAAAACACCTAAATGTGTCCATCTCCAGCTAAAGATCAGACCTGGAGAGTATTTCTCTCAGGATTGGGGAATAGGGGGAAGTGACATGCTCAGCTACCACCAACCTCAAACACCTGCTCAGACTGACCTTGAGATGTCCAGGACTGCGGAGAGGAGCCAGGGTTTCCACGATCTCTGGCCCCACACTCCTAAGCTCAGTACTGGGAACAGAGAGTCAAGGAAGGGAAAGAACCAGAGATGCCTAACCAGAGGCACACGGACAAATAAACCCCTGGGTAGCAGCAAAGCTCTGCTGAGTGCAGGAGAATACACTCTAAGGCAGCACCCAGGGAGGCCAGGGAAGGGGGCTGGAGTTGGGCCCCCAACTCCAGCGGCTGAGGCTGGCCCTCAAAGCCCAAGGGATGGGAGGAGTCCTGAGGCTTCAGGCTCAGCAGAGCAGCAGCAGGGAGGGAGAAGCCCTGCAGCAGGGCCGAGCACCCAGCACCCTCTGCCGGCACTCAGGGCACGGTGTGAGCCCGCGGGCAGCCAGGGCAGGATACGGTGGAGCAGGGGGCGGGTCACGTAGATGGATTCAGCGATGGTTTCTTGGAGCCCCAGAGGGGTGGGAGGCTGGTTCAGCTCCTCCGCTCTTCGGCTCTGCGACTCCTCTCTCTGCTGGGGAGACCCCCAGTGCCGGGACTGCAGGGATGGGGCTGAAACAAGCAGATCAGGTCACTAACACAAACCAAACCTTCCCACCGTGCTTCCCGGCACCACCGCCCCACTGCTTTCTGCGCCGTGAGGGTGTGAAAGGGGATGAAAGAGTGAAGAGCTGTGCACACAGCAACTGCTGCAGCTGAGCAGCACCCTCAGAGCTTGCCTCCAGAGGGGACAGAGCAAGGAGAGATACAAGAGTGATAGGGCATTGGAACAGGCTGCCCAGGGAGGTGGTGGAGTCCCCATCCCTGGCTGTGTTTAAGGGCCGTTTAGATGCAGTGCTAAGGGACATGGTGTAGGGGATGACTTTGTAGAGTAGGGTAGATGGTTGGACTCGATGATCCCAAGGGTCTCTTCCAACCTAGATGATTCTATGATTCTATGTAAGAGCTGTGCTTCTCAAAGCAGAAACAGCTCAGGCAAGGACAGAAAACATGCTCAGCTACTTACTGCTCTGGAGAGAGCGCACAACGCGGCTGGAACGTTTGCCAACATAGGTCTGATCCTTCCCTGAGGAGCTGTCGCCTTCCCCATCTGCAGGAGGAAACAGCCACAGGGATCAGGCTCCAAAGGAACACGCCTCACCCTGGCAGCACCCAGCACCCAGCCCACGCTGGCAGCACCATTCCCTGCACTGCCATCAAAAAGACCGGACAGAAAGTTCAATGGTGTGCAAACTGGGCCATGCTGAAGGAGCTAACACTACACAGAGCTGTCAGAGGGTTAAAAGGTAAATCTGCTGGACATTGCCCAGGCCTAGGACCTCTTTCCTCACTGTCAGACCACGGGACACACCACCTGACTCACAGATCAGCCAGTGGTTTCAGGCTTAGACTCCTCCACCTCCTCCTTCCAGACTGTAGGACAACCCTGCCCCTAAGCTAACCTGTGCTCCACAGAGGGTGGAAAGTGCAACGCCACTCAGCTTTGTGTACCGAAGCCTTACAGCTCCCTGTGACACCCAAGCCGCTGCTACGACGAGTAATTCCTAGCAGGACAAGACCTGTGGCCCAGCAAGGCGCCACGCCAGCGATGACAGCACCGTGGGCTCACCTTGGGGGTGGAGAGGCTGCTGCTGCTCCCTGTTGAGTGGCACAATGGGAGGAGAGGTCTGGATGCCAGCTTTGTACCACAGCAGGAGCAGGAGGCGAAGGATGGCTCTGCGGGCAGACACACGGAAGCCTTCAATACCAGGTTACGGAGCTGTGGCAGCAGAAAGGTGGCTTCCACAGAAGAGAGAAACACTCAGGTCTGCTCAGGGCAACTGGCAGGGTGAGAGGGGTAAGCGTCCCCTTCTGCAACAGAGCATCCAGCACACTGGGGGGGCTCCTAATTCCCCCAACCTCATGGACCGACCGGCAGCTCAGTCCTATTTGGGCTTTTTTCTCAGTGTCCTGCTGAGCCCCCTCCAGATCCCCTTTCCAAGCCCACGCTGCCCCTTCCCTTCCGCCCGCAGCACTTACTTAGCCAGCTGGATGAGGACAATGATGGTCCACCGGCCCATCTCCCCCCACACCCTGGCTGTCCCCATCTCTGCAAAGACCTCCACGCATTCTAGCACGCTCAGCCAGGTCAGCAGCTTCTGCTGGGGCAGTGACTGCAAAACACAGAGGGGAGGAGGGGGACAGGATGCAGGTTCTGCTTGGGAGTTAAACGGGGCAGAAGCACAGCCCAGACTGGTGGGACTCTCAGAAATAAGCACTGGATGGCCTTGGAAAGTCACAGCCCCAGAAACAACAAGTGGTGCTTCCACTGCGGCCAGAGTCTACACGCAAGCCCACTTCTCCACCTTCAAGGAGGGGCAGACCGAGACATCACAGTGTCACACAGAGCTGCTGCCCCAGAAACAGGGTCACACCAGAACAAATGCCTGCTAAATACAGCATCAGTCAAAATCCCAGAAGTGAAGTCCAAGACAGGGGGTGCCCCTCCAGCCTGGATCCCTGCTCCCGACACGGGCACTTGCCAGTGCTGTCAGCCACAGGATTTAACCCGTTGAAAAGCATCAGTAAAGGCAATACAGCTGAAATTGACTTCAGCCTTTAACAACTAGGGAAGCAAGCCCTCTACATTTCTGTTTGTTACACACCTGACACTCCAGCCAGAGAGCTGCCAACAACCAAACCCACACAGCACAGCAGGCTTGCGACAGAAGAAGCCTGTCTGGAAAAAAAATAATCACCCTCCTCATTCCCTAAAGGGCCTAACAAGTTCTGGGAGCCAGCCTGGGGCTCTTACAAAGAGAGACATAGAAGCAAAGCGCTCATGTTTGTTTTGCTCAATACCACATGCAAAGGAAGAGTCCGAGAGACAGACTCAGAGCTTCAGTGCTCTAGAGCCACTCCTCTGGAAACAGCGACGGTGGTTCGGCAACACCTTTGCCTATCTCAAGTTCTAAGCGTCTCAAAAACCAAAATGGAGCTCCCGGTGCAAGCCAGGGCCTGATTTCTGTGGTCCAGGGAGTGCTCTGGCCACTCCTCCTAGCCAGGAGCTATGAGGCAGGGCTGCTGTTTACCTGCATTCAGTGGTTGCCTCTGGCCTCTACATACCTGACAGCAAAGAGAGACCATAGCAAAGACCTCTTAGTTTCTACAGACACTCCCTGAAAGCTTCTGCAAGGAAGAAACCATGTGTCCCAAATTCTCTTCCCACACACTCCAGCCTTACCACGGGCAGGCTCCGCTGCAGCTCCTTTCGGAGAATCCAGTCGTTTAAAAGCACGAGGAGGTTGGAGGCAGAGTACACTGGAAAAAGAAGAGAAGAACACCACAGTTACGGGATGCACGGAAAGCAAACCAAACCGGGACTGCTGCCTCTTCCCCCCGGAAGGGGGATGAAGGAGGAGGGGCGGAAAGACATGCAGATTCCCCCCCGGTAAGCTGCTGGAGGATGCAGCCAGGCGTGAAGAAAACCAGGGATCGGGGGAACGGCCCCGCCAGCCCCGCAGCCGGTGGGTAACGGGGCTGCACCCCCCCACC